CAACTTGTTTACCATGTACGCTTAAATGTGCATCTGTGTGGGGGATAGGCGGCCCACAGAGCCGCCCCACGCTTAAACAAACCACCTTCAGCTTGTTTACCATGTACCCTTAAATGTGCATGAGTGTGGAGGATAGGCGGCCCACAGAGCCGCCCCATGCTAAAACAAACCACCTTCAACTTGTTTACCATGTATGCTTAAATGTGCATGAGTGTGGGGGAAAGGCGTCCCACAGAGCCCGATGCTTGAACAAACCACCCTCAACTTGTGCACCATATACTTTATGCTTAAATTGCCCACAGAGCAGCCCCACGCTTAAACAAGCACAGCGCCACAAGTAAATGCCAGAGGAACCTAGTTACAGAAACGTACCAAAACTGATGCGTTTGTGATCTACCATGTGTCTTCTGCACGCAGTGCTGAAAACAAACCCTCCTGATAGCGTTTCAAAACCTTGTTGGAAACGTATCCCCACTCATGCTCGGCCATCTCTTTTTCCAGCACAGACGCTATTCTATCCTACTTGCCTCGGCGGCTGCGGTTCTTCTTTAAAACTTGTCGCTCCCATTCTCGTTTGCTTCTGAAACCATGATCGTCACGGTACTCCATGAACCAACGCACCACACCATCTTTGCATAGGCGCTGCTTCCATCCTGGCGCTTCTGGCTGCGTTTCTTGCTCTGCGGCTGGCTGCTGGGCATCCACTGCTTGGGCCGAAGTCTCACTATTTGGAGCTGGTGTTTCTTTCGAATTCGTTGGCTGGGCCTCTGCTGACGCCAATGGTGAAACTGATTGCTGGGCATCTGCTGATGAAGCCGATTGCGAAATCTCGGGCTGGGCATCTGCTGATGAAGCCGATTGCAAAATCTCTGGCTGGGCATCTGCTGATACCGATTGCAAAATCTCTGGCTGGGCATCTGCTGATGCCGATTGCGAAATCTCTGGCTGGGCATCTGGTGATGCCGATTGCGAAATGTCTGGATTGGCATCTGTCGATGCTGATTGAGAAATCTCTGGCTTAAGATCTACTGAGTGGTGGGCATCTGCTGCTGCCAAGTGCGAAATCTCTGACTGGACATCTGATTGCTTTGGCGGCCCACGATCCTGCACTTTTGCCTCTGAAGCCTCTGCCAAAGTCTCTGAAACTTCAGGAGAAGGATCATGGTTGTGCTGCGCGGGATCTGGATCCAGCTCCTTTTTGCGCCGATATCTTGCGACACACACGCAGGCCTTCACCTCTTCTGGACTCTCCGGCTTGGACTTCGGCTTTTTTCTATGTTTTCGTTTCTGGGGCTGCTCAGTTTGGGCACCAAGCATCTCTGACTCCAACTTCACTTGGGAAGAACCACATGTGGACGCAGTGGCCTTTTCCACGCCATCTGAAGCTCGCCAATGAAAGCAATTTTCATTGTCTGTAGGAGGAGATGGGCTGACGACCTGATTAAAGCGCAATGTTCTGCGCCTTCGTAGTGCTCTCTCTGAGCTTCTATCTTCTCTTTTCCTGGAAGTACGGCGGCGCCTGTGTCGTGAACGACCTGGTTGATGGGAGGACGATGTAGTGGCAGACATGGCTCGCTAGAAAGCAAACATGTGGTAGATAACACTCCCTTGCACCGCTTTCGTTCACATAATTTTGTATTGAAAGTGGTTATTCTTAGAACAGGCAGGGGCCATTAAATTAAACCCTCCAGTACTTAACAGTGGAACATAGTGGCGCAGTTTGTACCCACTTGTGGTTTCAGTGTAGTTTCGCAGTTTTGCTTGTGACACACAAACGAAGCGCAGCTGGGAATACATGTTGACAGGTGGCACGACATAAAGCAAGTCAAACAACACATGGGTTTCCAGGAAGATTATCTATCTACTGAATGTCACCATGGCAAAACAACATTTCTATACCCGCAAAAGCTGGCTTCAAGGATGTCTGTTGCATCCCCACCCCAACAAATCACTGAGGCGGCCCACGAGGCCGCTCAGAAAGTGCGCCTGCGAAGCTGCAGGTCAGATTCAGCTTCAAAATTACAGAACTGAAGGATGTCTCTTGCATCCCTACCCCAACAAGTCACTGAGGCGGCAGGCCGCTGACAGTCAGTGCGGCCTGTGAAGCTGCAGGTCACATTGACGAAGAAGAGCTAAGCTGTCCTCATTTTGAAGGTGGTGGACCATGTCTTCGTTGCACCCAGCATGAGGTGGTGCAGCCAGGAACATTTCTGCACTTGCTGCAACCTGTAGGCTTCCACTTCTTCATTTCTTTCTGAGACGGCCATGGCCGGAGAAAAGGTTTCGACTTCGACTTTGCGTTTTTCTTCACCTTGGTCTTTGCCATCGCTTTCTGAACAGGCTTCGAAGAAGACATCACTTTCTTTGGGACGTTGCTTGCCTTGGCGCTCGCTGCTTTAGCTTTTGCTTTCGCAGTCGGGCCTTTAGCGGCTGGCCTCTTCATTGCGGCGCCTGACTTTGGAATGCCTCTCTTGTCAGTCTCACGCTTTTCCATTGCCTCATCCAAGCTCAAGAGCGCAGACTTCACACCCTTGTGCTTTTCAGGCCCTGGAACCACAGGATCGTGTTTTTCAGGCAGTGGAACCGCAGGATCGGTTTTGGACTTTACCTCCAATGGTGGTTGCAGCCGATCCTGCTCCATGGCACCAAGGTTGTCAGCTTTTGGTGCCTCTGGCATTGACACACCCGGGTTCTCAGGCTTCTCCAAGTTTTCCTGGCTTGAAGTTGAAAGCAAAGCAATAGGTTGAATAGTTTCAACCGCCGCAGGAGACGTTGTTGCCGGTGGGCTTGGGGTAGACGCCCTGGAATGTCCATCCATGGGCTTAGTTGTCGTCAAATTCTCTGTCTTTGGCAAGGTTTCCGGTTCCATTGTCAAAGCAAGTGGAACTCTCGGAGCAGTAGGGCCAGTCATGGAACGCTCCTGGCCCTGTTGATGAGCCCACTGGTTCAAAGACCCCATACCTGGCGTACACCCCGAAGACAGCTGCCCACAGCTCGACATCATGGCCTGAGCCATATATTGCATCAAATGAGTTGGCAGGAAGCCATGCTGCAATGACCCAGAAAAGGCTGCAGGACGCGGCGCTTCTTTG